CAGGGGAAACTTGTACCTTGCTAATGATTTTTAAATGTGTTTTTCTTACCAGGAAAGGAATTATATCTTATTTTTAAACATTTTATATATAATCTTTCCTGGCAGTCTGATACACTTCAGGCCTCCAAATGATTGCTTGTTGCCGTCTAGTTGCTGCTCACCCAGACCAGTCTATCTACTAAAGGTGATGAGTTATCCTCTTTATACTTACAATTCTTGTATACCATTTCCCTTTCTCTAAATTATCTGTATTTTCTTGGTGCTATTTTAAGAATAATTCTCTCTTCATACATTGGTTTTAAAGCCTTGTTGGGTTTTTGTGGTTAAAAAGTTTTTAATAGTTCCCTTTCCCATATCAGTTGTATAGTTGAACTCCTTTATTTTTAAATGAATTTTCCTAAAATGCTATTTTGTTTCCACATAGTAAAAATTAAAAGTTCAAATCATAAACTTCAAACACAAACTCAAGCTGTATAAGGACCCTTTACTCTTCAACAGCCTTTATGCATTAACTACAGTACACCAGCGTTTACTTTTTAAGAGTTGGTGTTTAGGAGTAGAGATACATATAAGTAAGGTAGTTCCCTGTTAAAGGGGTGGGATAGTTTAAGAAGGAATATTAGGGGGGTTTTTTGTAGTATGAATTGTCTGTTTAAACCTTTTGTCCATTTTTAAAAACTGGGTGGTTTTCTTAATTGTTGAATTTTTAGAGTTCTTTATACATTCTGAATACACATCCACTGTCAGATGTGTGATTTGTAAATATTTTCCCCTTAAGAGTTTGTTTATTCATTCTCTTGGTGTTTTTAGGAGAGCAGCTTTTAATTTTGGTGAAATTGAGTTTGTCGGTTTTCATTTATACATCATTTGGTATGGTATCTAAGTAAGAATTTTTTTTTAAACCATTCTCAGAGTTCTTCTGTTTTCTTCTTAGAAAGTTTTAGTTGAGGTACATTTTGGCATATGGTCACCTTGACTTACACATTTGGTATAAGGTATGACTTGTTTTCTGGTGTTTTTGCATATAGATGTCCAGTTATTCCAGCACCATGTGTGGAAAAGCGCTGTCCTTCTCCACTGACTTCCCTTTTCCCTTTTGTCAATTGACCATATTTGTCAGTCTCTTTTAAGACTCCATTCTATTCCATTAATAATGTTTATTACATGAACTTTATATTATAGTAAGTCTTCAGATCAGGTGGTGTTGGCCTTGTCTTCTTATTCAAAATTACTTTGGCTATTCTAATTCCTTTTCCTATATAAATTTTACAAACCACTTGATTTCCTGCCATCCCCCAAAAAAGGCCTTTGGCAAATTTGATTGGGTTTTACATTGAATCTATAAATCAGGTTAGGGAGAATTGACAGTGCTGAGCCTTCTGATCAGTTTATGTAGTTCATTGTCAATGTCACCATTTTATAATTTTCAACATAAAATCTTATACAAATTAAAGTTTATACCTAAGTAAGTATTCCTGGTTTTGATGCCATTGTAAATGGTACATAATCCTTATTTTATAGATGAGGAAATTAAGTAAGTTGCCCGAGGTGACACAGTTATTAAGTGACAAAAGCCAGTTTCAAACCTACATTGGCTTATCAGCTGCTGTCCTGGTTTTAATTACAATGTTAATTTTTTACTCTGAAGCTCTTGTGATTAGTGGTAGCTGAGAGGAAGCTCTTATTTCTTTTATCAAGAAAAATCCTGTCATCATAGTGCTTCTATATTAAAAAAAAAAAAAAATCCCAGGGAGTTTATATATTTTCTGAGTT